CAAGAGAAAAAGAAGAGCATTACATAATGATAAAAGGTATCAATCCAACAAGAAGATATAACATGTATAAATACATATACACCCAAAATAGGAGCACCTAAATACATAAAGCAAATATTAACAAACACAAAGGGAGAAACTGACATTAACACAGTAATAGTAGGGGACTTTAACACCCACTTACATCAATGGACAGATCATCAAAACAGAAAATCAATAAGGAAACATTGGCCTTAAATGATACATTAGACCAACTGAACTTAACAGATATATATGGAACATTCCATCCAAAACCAGCAGAATACACATTCTTTTCAAGTGCATATGGAACATTCTCCAGATATATAGCTTGCTAGGCCACAAATCTAGTCTCAACAAATTTAAGAGGACAGAAATTATATCAAGCATCTTTTCTGACCAAATGATATGAAATTAGGAATCAATTACAGGAAAAAAAATGGGAAAAACACAAAAACACGTAGAGACTAAACTCCATGTTAACTAAAAAAAAAAACAAAAACCAATGGGTCAATGAAGAAATCAAAGAGGAAATCAGAAAATACCTTAAGAAAAATAAAAGTACAACTTTCCAAAATCTATAGGACTTAGCAAAAGCAGTTCTGAGAGAGAAGTTTAGCAATACAGGCCTATCCCAGGAAATGAGAAAAATCTCAGTCTAACCTTACACCTAAAGGAACTAGAAAAAGAATAACAAACAAAAAAATTAGTAGATGGAGGAAATAATAAAGATCAGAGTGGAAGTAAATGAGCTAGAGATAAAAAAGATAGAAAAGATCAAGGAAACTAAGAGCTGGTTGTTTGAAAAGATAAACAAAATTTATAAACCTTTAGCCAAACTGATCAAGAAAAAAGAGGGCCCAAATAAATAAAATTATAAATTAAAAAGGAGAAATTCCAACTGACACCACAGAAATACAAAGGATCATAAGATACTACTACAAACAATTACACACCAACAAATTGGATAACCTAGAACAAATGGATAAACTGAATCAGGAAGAAATAGAAGCAGACCGCTACTAGCAGTGAAACTGAATCATTAATCAAAAAACTCCCAATAAACTAAAGAATTCACAGGGGAATTCTTTTTTTTTTTTTTTTTTTTTTGCGGTACGCAGCCCTCTCACTGTTGTGGCCTCTCCCGTTGCGGCTTCGGACGTGCAGGCTCAGTGGCCATGGCTCAAGGGCCCAGCCACTCCGCAGCATGTGGGATCTTCCTGAACCGGGGCACGAACCCATCTCCTCTGCATCGGCAGGCGGACTCTGAACCACTGTGCCACCAGGGAAGCCCCATGAATTCTTCTTTTAATAAAAATAATGCTATGAACGTTTGTATACAAGTATTTTTTTAAGGTTTTTTTTTAATTAATTTATTTTTGGCTGCGTTGGGCCTTCATTTCTGCGCACAGGCTTTCTCTGGTTGCAGACAGCGGGGACTACTGTTCGTTGCTGCAGTGTGCGGGCTTCTCATTGCAGTGGCTTCTCTTGTTGCGGAACATGGGCTCTAGGTGCACAGGCTTCAGTAGTTGCAGCACATGGGCTCAGTAGTTGTGGCTCGCAGGCTCTAGAGCACAGGCTCAGAAGTTGTGGTGCATGGACTTAGTTTCTCCATGGCATGTGGGATCTTCCCAGACCAGGGATCAAACCCGTGTCCCTTGCATTGGCAGGCTGATTCTTATCCACTGTGCCATCAGGGAAGTCCCTTCACAGGTGAATTCTATCAAACATTTGTAGAAGAGTTAATACCTATCCTTTTCAAACTATTCCAAAAAACTGAAGAGAAAGGAACACTTCCAAACTCCTTCTGTGAGGCCACCATTGCCCAGATGCCAAAACCAAAGAAACTACAAAAAAAAAGAGAGAGAAAATTACATGCCAATATCCCTGATGAACATGGATGCAAAAATCCTCAACAAAATATTAGCAAATTAAATTCAACAATACATTAAAAGGATCATACATGATCAAGTGGCATTTATCCCAGGGATGGTTCAATGTCCACAAATTAACCAGTGTGATATACCACATTAACAAACCAAGGATAAAAATTCTATCATCTCAATAGATGCACAAAAAGCTTCTGACAAAATTCAACATCCATTTATAATAAAAACTCTCAACAAAGTGGGTATAGAGGTAATATACCTCAACATAATAAAGGCCATATATGACAAAATCACAGCTAATATCATAGTCAACAGTGAAAAGTTGAAAGCATTTCCTCTAAGATCAGGAATATGACAAGGATGCCCACTCTTGTCACTTTTATTCAACTAGTAGTGGAAGTTCTAGCCACAGCAATCAGAAAATAAAATAAATAAATAAAGAGACTCTAAATTGGAAAGAGAAAAGTAAGATTGTCACTGTTTGCAGGTGAAATTATACTACTATATATAGAAAACCTGAAAGAGGCCACCAAAAATCTATTAGAACTAATAAATGAATTCAGTAAATTTGCAGGATACAAAATTAATATACAGAAATCCATTGTGTTTCTGTACACTAATAATCTATCAGAAAGAGAAATTAAGAAAACAATACCATTTACAATTCCATCAAAAATAATAAAATACCTAGGAATAAATTTAACCAAGGAGGTGAGAGACCTGTATTCTAAAAACTGTAAGACATTGATGAAAGATATTGAAGTTGAAACAAATAAATGGAAATATATACCAAGCTCATGGACTGAAAGAATTAATGTTGTTAAAATGGCCATACAACCCAGGGTAATCTACAGATTCAATGAAATCCTTAATAAAATACCAATGGCATTTTTCACAGAGCTAGAACAAATGATCCTAAAATTTGTATGGAACCACAACAGACCCAAATAGCCAAAGCAATCTTGAGAAAGAAGAACAGAGCGGGAGGTGTCACACTCCCTGATTTCAAACTATACTACAAAGCTATAGTAATCAAAGCAGTATCATGCTGGCACAAAAAGAGCCACATAAATCAATGGAACAGAAAGAGAGCCCAGAAATAAACCCATGCTTATATGGTCAATTAATCTGTGACAAAGGAGGAAAGAATATACAATGGGGAAAAGATAATCTCTCCAATAAATGCTGTTGGGAAAACTGGACAACTTCATGCAAAAGAATCAAACTGGACACTTTCTTACACTGTATACAAAAATAAACTTGAAATGGATTAAAGACTTTAAGACCTGAAATTTTAAAACTTCTAGAAGAAAACAGGCAGTATGCTCTTTGACATTGATCTTAGCAATATTTTTTGAATATTTCTCCTCAGGCAAGTGAGACAAAACCAAAAATAAACAAATGGGACTAAATCAAACTAAAAAGCTTTGCATAGGAAAGGAAACCATCAACAAAATGAGAAAACAACCTACTGATTGGGATAAAATATTTGCAAACAATATATCTGATAAAAGCTTAATATCCAATATATAAAGAACTCAAATGACTCAACATTACAAAAACAAAAAAAAAACAAAACCTAACAATCCAATTAAAAAATGGGCAGGGAACCTGAATAGACATTTTTCCAAAGAAGATATACAGATGGCCAAGAGACATATGAAAAGATGCTCAACATCACTAATCACCAGGGAAATGCAAATCAAAACCACAATGAGATATCATTCACACCTCTTCAAAGGGCTATCATCAAAAAGATAGCAAATAACATGTGTTGCTGAGGGTGTGGAGAAGAAAGAACCCTCTAGCACTGTTGGTGGGAATGTAAATTGGTGCAGCCACTATGGAGAGCAGTGTGGAGATTTCTCAAAAAATTAAAAATAGAACTACCAAATGATCCAGCAATTCCACTTCTAGATGTTTACCCAAGGAAAACTTATACCCTAATTCAAAAAGATAAAAGCACCCCTATTTTCAATTAGCATTATTAACAATAGTCAAGATATCGAAGCAACCTAAGTGCCTACTGATAGATGAATGAATAAAGAAGATGTAGTATATATACACAATGGAATATTTACAGCCATAAAAAAGAATGAAATCTTGCCATTTGCAGCAATATGGATGGAACTAGAGGGTATTACGCTAAGTGACATAAGTCAGACAAAGACAAATATATTACTTATGTGTGGAATCTAAAAACCAAAACACATGAACAAACAAAACAAAAACAGACTCATAGATGCAGAGAACAAACTGGTGATTGCCAGAGGCAAAGGGAGTTTGGGGGTTGTGCAAAATAAGTGAAGGGGATTAAGAAGTACAAACTTCCAGTTATAAAATAAGTCACAAGGATGTAGTATACAGCATAAGGAATATGGCCAGTAATATTGAAATAACATTGTATGGGAATAGATGGTTACTTTTTGAGTTGATCATTTCATAATGTATTTAAATATCAAATAACTATGCTGTACACCTGAAACTAACATAATATTGTATGTCAACTATACTTCAATTTAAAAAAGAAGAAAAAGGGGAAAAAAAGAAAATAAATTTACTGCAAATGTATTAAGTTATTCCAGTAGTTCCTAGGACTCTTATAATAAGGGGAAAAAATACAAACAGGAAGGAAATGTGCCAAGATTTCTCCTAAGCATTGTTTAAAACAGTGAAAAGTTGGAAACAACACATTATTTTTTAAAATGCAAATGTTTAAGGAAATGTGATACACCCATTAATGGAATATTTAGGAGACACTGATGTTCATAAAGAATGGGAAAAATTTTATGGTAAATTAAAATGCAGGATACTGTGTTTATAGTACCACTATATTAAATATGTAACACTAAAGTTATCTATATTTATATATTATATATATTTATAAAAGTAGTGGATGAGATTAAATGAAATGTTTGTGCTTGGGTGGTGAAAGTCTGGACAATTTTATTTTTTCTATTTTTCTTTATTTTCTAAATTTTCTAAACTCTATAAATTTGATTTTCAAATATGGGAAACTAGTGATATATGCTGCATTTTTATGTTCTTACTTTTTAAAAGATTTATTTAACTGGTTCTTGAATTCATTTGAAGATGTGTTGACAGCTGTATCTTCTGTTACAATTGCTGAGGTTGCACGTGACAATAAGGAAGTTCAGGATGCTATGGCTATGGAAGGAGCCATTCCTCCTCTGGTGGCTCTTTTTATGGGAAAACAACTTGGTGTTCAAGTGAAGGGTGCAATGGCTGTGGAAGCACTGGCAAGTTACAACCCTGCTATACAGAGAGCATTTCTGGAAAAATCACTAAGTAAATATCTTTTAAAACTCCTCAAGGTAGGAATTTTATGATTCTTTTTCATTTTCCTTAGGTAAAGCATTCAATATTGAATTTAGTTAAGTGAAAAGAAAACTAAAACCAATTCTAGAATAAACATTTTATCAAACATAGATTCCTACGGTATTCAATAAATCCTCATTGACTGAATAGAATACTTTTTTAAATAGGCATTTCAAATAGATGTTAAGGAACAAGGAGCTGTAGCACTTTGGGCCTTGGCAGGACAAACACTAAAACAACAAAAGTATATGGCAGAACAGATTGGATACAACTTTATAATAAATATGCTTTTATCACCATCAGCTAAAATGCAGTATGTTGGTAAGTTATTTTCTATGCATAAATCTGTACAATATAGAACCAGACATTGGAGTATCACACATGTTTCTTGCTTATTGTTGCCAGGAGGTGAAGCAGTCATAGCGCTAAGTAAGGACAGCAGGATACACCAAAATCAAATATGTGAAGGGAATGGAATTGCACCACTGGTTCGCTTACTAAGGATTAGTAAAATAGCTGAAGGAACACTTCTGAGTGTCATCAAAGCAGTGGGATCCATCTGTATCGGTTTGTACGTTTATTCTCAGTTTTAAAAATATCAGTAAATACTTCTCTTCCTCTCTATCCCTACTGTTGCAGCCCTTAACCATATTTAATCTGTTATTATAATGTTTTTATTTCTCCAAGACCTTAATGAGTAAAAGTGGTGTAGTTAAGCATATTGTATCAGTCTTGCTCTTGAGTTCTGGTTAGAATGAGAAATGAGGACCATGAGCCTTGGCTATTTTGACTTAAAGGGATCTCCTTTTTTAAGTTAAGAGAAAAATATTTCTTATTTTGAATCTCAGGAACTATATGTTTTTGAAGATATAGAAGTGTTTCTAGTGCTGTGGCACATTTTTCGATTCCAGTCTCTTTCCGTAGTGATTCTTTGTTTACATAGTGGCCACTAGGTCTAGTTGTTCCTTTCTTTGCAGAGGAATTAACCTTTTGGGATATCTGAAAAATGTTGTGGAATTGTTGGTGATTGACTTACCAAAAATAAAAAATCAGGTTCTTTGCTGACCTGCATGTATGTATGGAGACTGATTGAGGCTGCTTCCTGTAGGCAAGAGAAAAAAAAAACCTAAAACTTTATTTCTAGTCCATTGTATTTCCAGAAAAAATAAATTAAAAATTCTAGCTGAAGAACATAGGACTTGGTTTCAAATTTTTTTTTTCCTTTTTTCTTAGAAAAGCTACTTTACTGAAATTCACTAACTGCTTGCAGGCAATCAAGTCAGGCAAGATAATTTTGTTGTTGTTGTTTTAGCCAGAGTCTATGGTATAAATTATTTCTAAAATTCTAGTAAATGATAACACAAATACAAAGATAACTGATATACGTGTGTGTTTTCAATTTCTTCTCATTAGTTTACTTCAAAGCTGTCCACATTTGCCATAGACAAGAACTACAGAAAAAAACTCTTGTTTTCAAACTCACCAGCTTAGACTCTTTACACACACATACCCCTTCCTTTTTCTTCTTCATCATGTTTATGTTTTCTTCTATACCCTTGAACATATAGAACATATTTAAAATAGCTGTTTTAACATCCCTGTAACTAGTTCCAGCATATCTGTTATTTCTGGGTCTCTTGCTATTGGCTGATTTTTTTCTTGATTATGAATCATATTTTCCTGCTTCTTTGCACACCTAGCGCTTTTAAAATGTGACAGTTTTTTAAAAGTGCTATTGAAATACAGTTTACATATAAGAAGATATTTAAATAAAATAAACAATAGAATAAAATATTAAATACATTATTTAGAGTGTACAGTTTGATGAGTTTTGACATATGTATTCAGCACTGACACCATCAGCACAATCAAGTAAGTGAATATAATCATCACCTCCAAATGTTTCATTGTCCCTTCCTAATTCCTCCCTATTTGCACCCCATCCCCAGATAACCACTGATCTGGGTTTTTTTTCTTATGATCTGAGAATGGCTTTATTGTATTTTACATATTAAAACATAAGCTTCTGATTTTTTTCTTTAAAAAATAATGTGCTGATTTGAATTTATGACATGGATCCTAACAGCACAAAATTACTTTTAAAATTTGATATTAAATGATCTTACCACTGATTTTTCTATAACTATAGATTAGTTTGCATTTTCTAGAATTTTATGTAAATGGAATTATACATGTGTACTTTTTTCTGGCTTCTTTCACTCAGCATGATTATTTTGACATTCATCCATATTATTGTATCAAATATCAATAAAATACTTCTCTTTCAATGCTGAGTAGTATTCCATTGTATGGTGTGATGGTTAGTTTTATGCCTTATGATATACATACATACATACATATACATCCCGTTGGTTCTTTCTTTGGAAAACCCTAATGCTTATGGATATATTATGATTTGTTTACCCATGTACCCATTGAAGGACATTTGGATTGTTTCCTGTTTCTTGCTATATTGTAAATAAAACTGTTACGTACATTTGTGTTCAAGTTTTGGTATAGACAGGTTTTCATTTCTCGTGGGTAAATATCTAGAAGTAGGATTGCTGGGTCATATGGTAGGTGTATGTTTAACTTTTAAAGAAACTGCCAGATTGATTTTCAAAGTAGTGTTACCACTTTGCACTTCTACTAGCTGTGTGTGAGTTCCAGTAGCTTCACATCCTCATCAACATTTAGTATGGTAATTTTATTATTGTAGTGGATATGTAGTAAATCTTATTGTGGTTTTAATTAGCATTTTCCTAATCACTAATGATGTAGCATCGTTTCATGTGTTGTCATTTGTATATCTTCTTTTTTCTTTTTTTTTTAATGTTTCTAAAAAAACTTCTAATTTTATTTTATTTTTTGTATTTTTTTTAACATCTTTATTGGAGTATAATTGCTTTACAATGGTGTGTTAGTTTCTGCTTTACAACAGAATGAATCAGTTATATATATACATATGTTCCCATATCTCTTCCCTCTTGCATCTCCCGCCCTCCCACCCTCCCTATCCCACCCCTCCAGGCGATCACAAAGCACCGAGCTGATCTCCCTGTGCT